TTTTTGTTCACCCCCTCAAAAAAAGAGTGCTCAGGCATTATCAGCTTGGCAAAGAGAGGCAAGCCAGGCCTCATAAAACTATTTAAAAAGGTCTTACCACCTTTTTATAGGTAGCTGTGCTAGAGAAGGCCACACCTGGATTAGTGTACATTTTACACCAGCTCAGCGTTTCCTATTCAGTCAGTTCCTCTTGTAGCCATATAAATGTCAGTGCCTGTTCTTGGATCGGACCTACATTTAGTTTATTATCTGCTGTGTGTTTCTACTTGTCTACAGTGTACTTAATCCTTGTAGTTGTCGTTTCCTCGTTCACAATTCCTGCAGCATGCACAAAGGATGGATCTCTCCCTGTGTCTCGTCCTCCGCCCCTCCTTCGCAATCCCAACACACACACACTCCTTCAGCCCAGAGGAAGTGGAGAAGCATGGCTGTGTGATTGTATGTGTGCAGTAATCCCATCGCTCTCATGTTTCCGCAGGTTGTGCGTGCCAGGCCCGGACACAGTTTCCAGGGGCCTGTTTTTCCTAGGGTTGTTTTGGCACAAAAGGCATGGGACATGAGGGGGATGGGGGGGCCTGTGCCCTTTATACACTTTTCCTGGCTGCTGGAATGCAGCTCTCAGCTGTTTGCAGAACTCCCCTTATTCTGTTCTTTCCCTTCTTCCTATTTACTAGTTCAGTTCCTCTGTTCTCTGCAGACACATAACTAAATGCAACGTGCAGGCAAGTGTAGATTGAGTGGATTCTGAATCTAAAAAGATTATGGACCTTGCAGGGATCATTTTGAACATGTATTTCTGAAAAACTAATTGAAGAGAGCCAGTCCTATTTTTAGCACTGAGGGCCCATGCATGAGAGGAGGAGCTGTTCAGCTTTCAAGCCCAGCACCAGGCATTTTTTTTTTAGCTTTAAATAGAGTTATGAAGAATTAGAAATGCCTGTCTGACATGTGTTGGGGAAATGTGCTCACAATTTGTGATATCAGGACAGGAAATGAAGGTAATGATGGTCACTGGGAGAAGAGGGCACCAATAGCAATAAAACTCCGGCTGAAGATCTAACCCTTCCCCACTCTAAAAATAAAAGGGATTTTATTGCGCTCTCTGTTCCCACTTGGGATATTTGCAGTCCTTTCCTGCTGATGTGACCCTATATCATTGAATCAGGAAGCTCTCGAAAGGAGACACCACTATACAAAACAAACACTGGCAACTGATTTACCCTTTTATACCCATTACAAAACAACACAAATAAAGCTTTGGTTGAAACTGGGTTTTAAATAGGACACAATCATTTACATTGAAAATAGAGATTGATTGCTAAAGGAGTGTTTAGATTTCTACACTTAAAAATGCATTCTCTTTTACTATGTTTTAAAGCTGAACTCCAGACAAATGGCTCAATATTGAAACACATGTATAGGAGCTTATACAATTTGTATTCCTGCCCATCCAGTTCTGATGTTTACACAGCTCTGCCACAGCACAGCCATGTCTGTCAGGACAGGAGACCTGATGTTTTTTCTACTGCAGTTAACTAACACTTACAGTTTTTGTCCCTTCTGCAGCCTGTGGCTGGTGAGTGAAAGGAGAAGCAACAGACTGGTGAGTTTATCTCGCCATCACTTTGCTCTCTCCTATCAGTATGTTCCTTGTTTGCACATGAGCACTGCAGTAAATGCCTCCTTGTCCTGCTTCTCCCTCTCCATGTGAGCTCTGCTGTACAGTGAATTGCAAGAGGCTGATACCAGACCAAACACACTGTGTAGATACATTTAATAATGTAGTAATAAATTCCGAGCCGAATTTATTTGTGTCTTTTATCTGCCTGGAGTTCAACTATAAGTGCATTTTTGTATCGTGCTGCATTTTATATACAACTTTCATGTATTCTATCTATGTTTTAGGTGATAGGGTGCTGTAGACAATCTGATGCTAGGATGTATTTTACATGCAGTGCCCTTCTTTCCAATAGTCTTGATACAAAAACCAATGTTTTGGGGCCACGCAGGGTCCTTTCATCAGTGTGACATAGTGACATTGTCACCCTGATAAAGGGACCCTGCTTGGCCCCAAAATGTTGCTTTTTGCACGTGATGCACCTCTTCAACTAAATACAAACAAGAATTAATAAGTATTCATCAGGTGCTAGTGATCTTCATTTTGTATCAAGACTTACAGGGTTACTCACAAAGGGGTGAAGAGTTTGGAGAAGGCAGGAGACGTGAACAATCTAGGACAACATAGCTGAGCTGGAAAGTGAGCTGAATTGGAGAATGTTTCCAAATCTGCTATATTGGCCTAGACTGTTCACTTCTCCTGCCTTCTCCAAACCCTTCACGCGTTTGTGAATAACCCTGTTCGTATTGCACGGCACCATACGTGATCATCACTGAGAGCACCACCATTTACGGTATGCTCCTAAACACTGTAAGGATTGCAGGGGATACATCTGGACATTGCTTCTTCCCTATAGGACATGCACTTGCTAGAAAGTACAGCAAGTGGGGTTAAAGGAAAAAAGGTTCACTTTCAAACAGTTTGTTAAATGTAGAGGTAGAACACCAATTGTGGCATGGCTGAGTATCGTGTTAGAACAAGATCTATTGTGTGGATATCACAGATATTAGACTAGCGTAAGGTAATTCGCCATGGTCTCATTCTTTGAATACTTCCCAGCAGAACTGGTTACTGGGCCCAGAATTCAATGACCACGCTTGGCAGCAGTACCTCCTAGGATTTACCATTTTTGTGTAACAATACACTGAGCATTTAAGCATCTTCTAAAATTCTAGTGTATGAGCTGACCATTGGGCTAATATAAAGGGAGGAAAAATTATGTAGTTGTAAACAATAATGTCCGATATTCTATAGAAAAGTCAGGAAATCACCAGCACTCAGTAGTAAAGATAAATATGTCCCTTTTATTGGACAGAAAGCGTCACAGACAGTCAAATAAACCATATTCTATAGAGTTTACCTATATAAGAGATTATATAACATGATTAATCTACATATATTGTTTAGCAGCTGATCGCTTTTGAAAACATGACGTGCCAACACCCTGAGGTGTGCCAGCCATGGTTTAGGAGTTTTTCTATTCCCCCTGACAGAGTCTCTTTTATGCACTTGGACGAAAGTGATAAGATGTGAATACTTTTTTGTTTTAGGAAGACAATACTTTACTTCACTGCCATATCAATGTTGAGGACAAATGTTGCTTGTATTTTATGATGGTCTCTCTTTGCGTATTATAACACAAGAAAGAAAAACAGGGGATTTTGAGAGGTATTCCACCACAGCTTCAAGTTTTTGTAAAAAATTATTTTTATTTAACATATGCTATAAATATACATATAAAAAGCAACAAATAGTTGCAATAGACTTAAAACGAGATAATTATAACAGGAGCATAGACCCATTTAACATGCTATACATATCCATTATAGATCAATAAATATTCATTCAGTGTGTCCATCCCCTACGCGTTTCACAACTTGGCTTCATCAGGGGATTGTAAACTGATCTAACAAGAAACAATATATTTAATCAATGCATGTCAACAATTCGCTAGTAGATCTATTATTGTTGACATGCATTGATGTTGTCTATGCTCCTGTTATAATGATCTCGTTTTAAGTCTATTGCAACTATTTGTTGCTTTTTATATGTATATTTATAGCATACGTTAAATAAAAATAATTTTTTTACAAAATTTGAAGCTGTGGTGGAATACCTCTCAAAAACCCCTGTTTTTCTTTCTTGTGTTTATAATTATCTAAATTTAAGGGGGAGAGGTTACACCCGGGGGGCCACTGTGCTAGCTGCTCACAACTGTATTGCTCTCTTTGCGTATGTGTGGTGTCCAGTCGGTAATTACTAGCAATATGTATAAACTAGAGGTGCACCGAAATGGAATTTTTAAAAACGAAACCGAAATTAAAAAAAAATGTCAGGCCGAAACCGATACCGAAAATGTTTTTTATTTTTCCAATTTTTTTTATAAACTTTTCAATTTTTTTATATTTATTTCTATTCATTTTTGATTAAATATTTTTATTTTTTACTTTACTTTTAGGGGCTTCAGGGAAATATTAGGGGTCTAAACAGACCCCTGATATTTCCCTTTTAAAATAGAAAAAGAGATTGAGAACACAGAGTCCTCTATCTCTTTTTCTGTGTCCCCTGTTATCAATGAACAGGAATCCTCTGAGTGTTCCTGTTCATTGATAACATGAGTACATGGCATGTTTACTATAACTACAACTATGAATGAATGGGGGTGATGTAGATCACTCCCATTCATTTATAATTGAGGATATAGTAACCATACCATATCCTCAATTATGTACACACACTCCGCAATCACTGATCGCTGAGTGTGTGTATCTTGCTTTTTTCTCTGACACGCTGTCACAGAAGGCTGATCGAGCCGTGTAGAGAGGAAAGCCCAGCCTCCTGTGACAGCGATGTCTCCGGACTGTGATAGGCGGCTGAGCGGTGTGGGAGGAGAGATGCCGCAGCTCACAGCGCTCTCGTCCTGACTCCTGCTGCGCTCGTCGGCTGTCACCGACTTCTTCTCTCCCCGCTGGAACAGCGCCCAGCGGGGAGAAAAGAAACCAGGGATGAACAGATGTATCGGCCGAAACATGGCTCTTTCGGCATTATGCCAAAAGTGCCATTTTCGGCCGATATGTTTCGGCGGCCAATATATCGGTGCATCCCTAGTATAAACGATGATTGCTATTTACTTTGGATTTACTACCGGTGCCCACTGGATTGTGTAAGAGTAAGATTCCTGCCATCACTTCCAGACCGTTTGCTGTGTCCACTAGCAGTAACTAACTTGTTTGCTTTTAAGAAGTCACACATGTAATTTCCTGAGACAAAAATTATTTCCTTTTGATTTTAATAGAAAAGCACAGAGCTATTATTCTCAAAATGTTGGCTTTTTCTACAAGTTCATTTCATCTGGGTTCATACTGTGTTTTCTTTCATGCAGCGTTTCACAAATGAAGACCATTTGGCTGTACACAAACACAAGCATGAGATGACTCTAAAGTTTGGGCCTGCTAGGACAGACTCTGTCATCATCCAAGGTAAGCGAAGTGTTTATCATGTCACAGGCAACTGGTTGTTCGTTCCGATGTAAACAAAAAGCATATTTTATATAAAGCTTAAGCTGCCCATACACTGATCAAATTGTGGCCAAATCCTGCTGACTCTTTCAAAATTTAAGTAGTGTGTGGCCCAGTGGCTTCCCCCCCATTCCACAGAAGTCTGTTTTTGAATCAACTTTTGTTGAAGGAGCTTGTTTGAAAAATCTTGGCCAAACAGTGACAGTAGCCAACCAGCTGCGGTCACTGGTTGGGTATTCTGACAATGGCACACCACAGGGGGGGCGGGGAGGGGGGGCATGCCTTTAGCGAGGATGGGGGAATCAAGTTTTTTTTTCTCATTCAGCCGGCAATGCTGAACAATGCTGAACTCTGCATCTTCACAGGATTCCTGGATGCACAGAGATGAGTTTACAGCTACAATGTATGCACCTCTGTACTACCAAGTACACATTAAATGTTAAGTCACAGCGCTGCAAAGTTCCACTCACTTTTCTGCTAGGCACTTCTGTTTCCTGAAGGTAAACATTAAGCTGCCCAGATATGGCATATACCTGAGGAAATTGGATAAGTTGTCACAATAATAATCGATTATAATCGATTATGTCGATTAGTTGTTGCAGCCCTAAAAATTACTGCTTAGCTGCTCGGATAAATCCTGAAACAAAATGAGGTTCCTGATCTGGTTTTAAAAGATGTTTATAATAAACTGTTTTGCATAACATAGTAATGTTATTGAACTAGAGATGCTATTTCCAGCTGATCAAGGGAACTCACATTTCTTATTTTCATACATATGTGCATTCCCATGCTCTTGCAGCTCCCTCTGCTTTTCATAGAAGCCTATGGTATGTCTCCAACTCTCAGGAAGGAGACTGGCCAACCCATATGTGAGAATAGTGGCTGTTATGAGATATACCCTTCCTATTTTATAATCAAGGGTTTACTCAACTTTAGCTTCATCACTGACTCTCAATTGTGTTTATTATTTCATTGTTATTAACCCCTACACTGTCTGATCACTTCAAACAATGTACTAGTAAATCAGGTTATAAATGTAAGGAAGGATGTCACCCTATCCGTCTCAACCCCTTTCACTCAGAACTGCTTAAAAGAGAACTATGGGGTAAGTGTTTTTCCCCATAGTTCTCTTTAGGGTCACAGGAGGACATATACAAACCTCCTCCCGTGACCCAAAGCTCAGTATATTGCGGGCTATTGCAGCTGGGACGGATCCCGACAATACTGTCGAGATCCACCCAGCTGCGTGAGTGACAGCTGGTTCTGCCTATCTAGAGGCAGAGCCAGTTGTACCTGCCCCATCTGTTCCGCCAGTCAGCGATGGAGGATCGGAGAGGGGAGGGTGGAAATCCATGTGGGGAGCTGTAACTGACCATCACCGCTCTCTGCAGGGAGACGATCGGGAAGTGAGCGGATCGGCTGCATGTTTCTGCTCACTTCCCAATCGATAGAGCCATTCTGTGACATATGTGAAATCACTTACCTCATAGTTCTCCTTTAATGAAGTTCCAGGTTTGTGTGTGTTTTTCCTTCTCCCTCTTCTTTGTCTTGATTTCATCTTTCTTTTCTCAAATCACTGCATCACTTTTTCCTCTTGTGTAGATCAAACCCCAACTCCGACTCGTTTCCTGAAGAACTGTGAGGAAGTGGGTCTGTTTAATGAACTAGCCAGCTCTTTCGAACATGATTTCAAGAAGGGGGCAGAAGAAGAAGATGACAAAAAGGTAATCTACTGCTATAGCTTTGGAGCGGAATAGATTTTTTTTTTTTCTCTTATGGGTAACAGTATTGTGCATATGTTAATATGTGTATACAATATATAGTATACAATGGAATCAAAAGGAACTCAATACATTTTTTTTTCGTACTATTATTGGCAGTTTATTGTGGTTTGTAGTTTAATATATGTTTGAGTTGCTTAAAGAGACACTTGTCACCTTGATTATTTAGGACAAAGTAGCAATGTCTTGGTAAAGTCCACGTTCCCATTAAAACCATTACCCCATGGCCCAAACTCTGATACTCACCTTTCAACTCTCCCTTGTTGCTCCTGCATAAATCGCAGTCAGCACTAAAATGCAGGTGTCTGATTTGTTATCTCTACCCCGGTCACTCAGGCCTAGCAATTGACTGTTAGACCCAAAACATTGTTACATGGGAGAGATTGCATGCTCCCCCATATTCAGTAGCACTGGGTATTTCCATCAGAGTAATAGGAGAGCCTTGGAAGGAGAGCCTTGGGAGAATCAGGTGTCCAGCAGACCTTTACAAAGACATGGGGAGACCTTTACATAAACAATGTGAACAGAATTTATCAAAACTAGAGTAGACAAAATCTGGAGCATCAACCGTTTATTTTCAAATCTTAACTGAACAAACTAAAGAGCGAAAGCTGATTGGTTTCCTTAGGCAACTGCTCCAGTTTTGATAACTCCCCCCCTGTGTCTTTTAAGCAGCTGAGCTCCATCAATGTAAATGTATGAAATAAATTACTCTGCTTCTTCTGTTCTGGAATTTTTCACTAATGGCTTTGCCACATTAAACTATGCAAATTAATCTGTTAGACGGCCAAACCTGAGATTTTAACCCTTTCAAGAGACTTGAAAGGGTTAAAATTTCAGGCTTGGCCGTCTAACAGATTAATTAGCCTATTTTACCCAGGCAAAGCCATTATGGTATCCGCCAGTATATTCAAAACAACATTATAAGCACTTTGTATACCGGAATGATTTTCACTGTGTTTGTCAGAGCAAATGGGGGCCTTTGTTCTTTAACTTGTTTTTAAAAATACCATTTTAGTTTTTGTTTAAAGAGTAGTTAGAATTATTTCAGTGAAAACATTTGTAAAAGGTATTTATTATACAATTTTATCCTGAGTATCAACTGGCTAAAAAACAAAGGTGCCCAAATTGCTAAATACACAGTTACAATACACAGGTAAAACACAGTTACAATTTATTTCTTTATATTTATTATTAAATATTTTACTGTAGTGTATTATTCCTGCTTAGGTCTATCACAAGGAACAGCTCTTATTTGTCACAGGTCCTCCTTTTCTACCCTGCCATTAGTCCAAGCAGATAAGGGAGAGCCTTTATTACAATCAAAGATTCAATTTCCAAGACGTTTCATAACTTCCATACTTTGTGTTACACAGCTACAATGATACTTACATAAAAAGATATAAACACAACATTGTACACTTGCCTTGAAAGCCTTGGGATATGGTAGAGTTGTTAATAATCTAGCTGTCTCTAGGACTAGAACTGTTCAGAGAGCTTGTCTGGTTTCCAAACATATATAAGTGAGTGCCACAATCTCTAAATGTAATTACATATTTGTATCATATAACTCTGCACAGCTAGGTGGGTTTAAATTTCTTGCAAAGTCTAAACATGTCAATGTAAAATAGGCGTACCATGCAGCAGAGGGCCCCTTGAGTAAGGTTGGAGAGAGGTTGGAGTCAGCAGGTTTAATTCTAAATGGTCTATAGCCCGATGCCTGAAATTCTAACATGATTTTATTACGTTATTGGGATCGAGTTGCGGAACTACCCGGTAGAGGTTTGCTCTACCTCCACTCCATTTCATCTTCTAGTCCCCTGGTTCTCAACTGGTGGGCCGTGACCCAAAAGTGGGTCGCGACCCAATGTTCAGTGGGTTGCCGCATGTCTTCCAATGCACTAGGTAAGAGGCTCCTCAGCCTCCCCCATAGCACAGCACTGTCAGTTCTTCTGCCGCACAGCCATTCAAAATATGCTGCCTGGTGCCAAGGTGCTTTAGGTGTGGTGGGCTGGGGGTATGGCCGTGAGGGAGCTCCATCCATACATGCATTGCTTACAGCTCCCTTGCGTGACCGGAGTGACATCACATTCTGGCTCCCGCCACCACTACAGGGAGTGCAAGGGAGCTATACAAGCAATGCAGGTATGGATGGAGCTCTGTCACAGTACAGCAGCCCACGCTGAACCCCTAAAAAATAGTTGGGAGTGTGAATGTCTGTGAGTGTGTGAGATTGTGTTTGTGGTTGTGTGTCTGTCAGTGTTTTAATCACAAACTACGACGCAATAGCACCGATTCTTCATTCTGATGCGGGAGGTGCATTTGAACGGCACCCCAAACACACCTCCCGCACACAGTTTGATCGCTTGCACTGGAACATGCAGTACCGCAATGCCATGCGTTCCAGTGCCGTGCGACTTGGGTCACGAGTTAATGACCAATGACAAATGTGGGTCCTGAGGTTACACAGGTTGAGAACCACTGTTCTAGTCCTTTAACCCTTTTGCTGCCAAGCCCTCCAGAACGCTTTTATCCTCTACACCATGTTTGCAATTTTTCGCCCATTGTTTTGATTATCTACTGCTGCATTGCTAGCGTTTGTAAAAGACCCCCAAACCATATATTTCCTGAAAGCACAGTAGAACAAAAAGATGGAGCTACTAATTTTGTAGGTCCTGTGATCATTGCGCAAATGTTGTCAAATCAATATTAAACCGATAAAAATTCACAATTAAATTGATAAAAGCACACTAAAATCAGTATCGGTGTGACAGCCGGTCGGCTCCGGGGATTGGGTGAGTGTGCCTTTTTCTTTTTTAACCTGGACAAGGATGGGCGGTTGTCCCTTGCAGTGCGGGGGTGGCGCCACTGCAAGGGTTGGCGAACATTTATGCCCGGTGTTCTGCTTTAACAAAGAAATAGAGGGTGAATCTCTGAACAATTAAAACCTGACAGGGAATCTAACCTCTCCTTCCTATTCAATACTGTTAAAAAAGTTATTTGGTGTTGAATACACTTATAAAGTTATACAGTGTGAAGTTTTTGGGTGTGAAAAATTTATACAAAAACACCTAAAAAGTATGATCAATACATACGGGTGAATAAAAATGTTTTCAAGTTATTGATGCCAAAAAAAAGTGTTTTTAAATGAATTTTTGTGCCACAATCACTCTTCCTTCTTTTTTGAAGTCCAAAACTTTGGATGAGCTAGCATAAATACAACGAGAGGGATCCTGGAGATGCTGCATTTTACATAGTAGTGATACTGTCTTTCCTTTCCCACTATTCGCATTAAAGTGACTCTATCATGAGACGAGTATGAAGATTGCCAGTGCTGACCTTCTATAGGACTTGGAAGGAAAACACCATTTCTTTGTTTCACAAGCTGGGGGGGGGAGCCAGGACACCTCTTCTTAAAGCACTTGTTGTGTCTGATTAGTGGCACTGTGAGTTGTCGTGTGAAGAGGAGAATAACACACTGCTTTTGGGTGAAGAGTTGGCCACATGTGCCGTACTGCTTCAATCAGTGGTGTGACATTTTGTAGGCTAGTACTTAAAATAAATCATTTTAAAAAATTGCCAGGGGTGGGGGAAGCCTCCACAAAGTCCTGTGACTGACCTCACCTTCTATCAGTCTTATGCAGAAAACACCCCATAGGACACTTCAGGCTCCACACCACAGACAGGTTCTATGAATTACTACACTTAAAAAAGTCTATAGCAGTGTTTCTCAACCTTTTTTTTTTTAGTCACAGCCCCCTTTAAAAGTATGCAAAATCTTGAGGCACCCCAGTCTAAAATGTAAAATCAGTATCTGTGCACAAAAAAAATACTTTTCCCACTAAATCTAAAATGTAAAACTGTATTGAGTTAATAAATAGCCAATATTTGTACATTTTAAATTGGGCCTTTTTGCGAAATGTTAAATTATTACATTAAAGAAAAACTGTAAATAAGCGACTTGTGTTAAAAATCGTTTGTGCGCTGTGCTGATGTGTGTGTGTTGTGATAAAATAATACAAGCGTACATTTATTTGCAACACAGCATATCACAACGCATGGCAATGCATCACAACTCTGCCATGCGCTGCCACACAGTTAAATTAATGTTATTTTAAAAAGAAAGAAAAATCAAGCACTGCGATGCATTCTAACAACGCACCGCAGTGCACGGCGTACACCACAATATGATGCACGTGTGTGTGGGGGAGAGAGAATGAGTGGGGTTTGTGTTTTAATTTTTTAATTTATTTTTACTGTTGGGGGGCTTTGGGGAAATATCAGGGCTCTAAACACACACCATGACATTTCCTTTTTAAATAGAAAAAGAAATTGAGGACACACAGTCCTTTAATCTCTTTTTCTGCAGCCCCAGCACTAAATGAACGGAAAGCACTCAGTACAGAGGCTTCTCATTCATTCAGAAACTGGAAATTTGCTACTACCCTTTCAGTAAATCATGAATGAACAGGATGTGATGTCAAGCACTTCCTGTTAATTCATAACTGGGGGAAACATAGTACTATGTATCCCTAGTTTTTTTACAAACACTGGAGTGATCAGCTGCTGATGACAGCTATGAATTTAAAGGGGACCGTCAGGGGAACCGCTCTGATATAAGTTCATGGTTGATAAAGCGACAATGAGCAGAACAGTAAAAGCCACCAACGTAAGGCTTACTGACGTGGCCAGCTGATAGCAGTTGTGTTCCGCCATATGCCTTTACGTCGGTGGGAACTAAAGGGTTAAAGAAGTTTTGTTTGTTTTTTTCGTGTGGTTTTTTTTTTTTAAACAATGACATTGCTGGTCTTTAATGTCCCTTGCAATTTTTGTAAATACATATTGCACAGCTTATATATATAAACATGAATCCTAAATGACAGTGTGGGCATGTTATTGCATATGTATACAGGGACAGAGTAAATCATCCTAAAATCAAGGTGTGGGTGGACCTGGAGTCCCCACCCGGCTCGACAGATTTGGGGAAAAAAAGAAAATCAAACTGTTCGGGTTTTGAAGCAACCATGTTCCAGCAGCTGCTTGACTACAATAGCCATCAGGGAAGATTCCAACATCCACGCTGTTTAGCATGGATGGGAAAATCAAACAGTTTTCTCTCCTTTGGCACTTGTTCAACCCTGAATATTTTTAGCCAGCCTTGTTATTACATATGTCTACACTAACATCACAGGTGAAGGGTGTGTGTGTGTGTCCACATTGATTTTAGAAGTACAAGCCTATTTTTTTTTGTTTTGGACAGAGTGGGGAGGAGTTAAATGTTTTGTCAGGCTTTCAGTTCTGTCTGTGACTTCCATTTGGGATATCTTCTCTTATCTCCTGTCCCTGTGACACCTTTATCATAAATTAGAGGGTGAGGGTTGTCCCCAGGATAGGAAGGAACAGTAAGCACTAAAAACATTTTTAGTTCTAAAAGTTCCCCCGTCTTCTAAAATGTGTTTTTGTCTGTGTCCCCATTAAAGAAAAAAGGAAGTGAGGGATAATCTCCTCCATAAATCACTTAGCGTTAAAAGCCAGATACTTCTACAAAATGACATGTTTTGGTTGGAGTTAGGCTTTAGGAAAAATGAAAACAAATAATGAGCCAAGGTAAAGTAGAAGAATTTGGGCCGTTAGGTGGTAAAACACCTTGGGACATAGCTGATAAAACGAAGGGGTGTGACAAATGTCAGCATGTTGTGTATTGCAGACAGAGATTTTCTAACACTGTGGAGGGTTGGAGCGGAAACATTGATCATTCTGTTTGTATTATACTCTGCCTAGTCAGGAGGCATATTGCAGCAGGTCCCAGCAAGTAATTTCAATGAGGTCAGAGAGGTCTGTCACCTGCTGTCCCTATTGCTACCCATATATATTGGTGCTTTAAAGGAGAACTATGGGGTAAGTGTTTTTCCCCATAGTTCTCCTAAGGGACACGGGAGGATATGAACAAGTGTCCTCCCGTGACCCAAAGCTACAGCTCGCGGTAAACTGAGACCACTGCAGCCAGGACGGATCCCGACAATGCTGTCGAGATCCACCCAGCTGCGTGATTGACAGCTGGCTCTGCCTATCTAGAGGCAGAGCCAGCTGTACCCGCCCACTCCCCCGTCCGTTACGCCAGTCAGTGCTGGAGGAGCAGGGAGGGGGGGGGGGGAATCCCTGCAGTGAGTGACAGTCACCACTCCCTGCAGGGACATGATCGAGAAGTGAGCGAGCGACGGTATGTGTTCGCTCGCTTCCCGATCTATTGAGCCGACCTGTGTCAGTTTCATTGTCACACGTCAGCTCGACTATAATGTTGAGTGAAAATCCTCCCCTTTGAGTCCCGGCAGCAAAAGTCACCGGGAGTCTGTTTAAACAGCCCCGATGCTGGCGACGTACACTGTATGTCGTCAGTCACGAAGGGGTTAAAGAACAGTTCTTGCCGCACATGACTAGATTCTGCATTTGGTTGCTGTGGTCAAGAACAGTTTACCATCAAACACTTTGATCCTTAAAGATGATTCTGGAACCATCATGTATGTCTTGTATTCGATATAACAAGATAAGCAGCGTTTGTGAACTACAAATCACAAAAAAAATAAAATCACATCAATGCAAGTGCTGTTAATCAATAAAAAAACACGGCACTGTAATAGTTAATAAACCTGTCTGCGATTAGGAGGTGATTTTTAACCAAGTGCTTCTAGGTGTCTCAGTGTGTAAAGATAAAGTGGATCAGTCTATAAACATTAAAAAATCCTTCACTTTTTTTTACACCTTCATGTGCAATAATACCATTGAGTGACAAATCATATGCGTGAAAAAATTCAGGTCGGTAAACGAAAATAATAGTGAATGACAATTAATTGTGCTAAACAAAAAATAAAGTCTCTGTAATATACAGCTCCGCTTCAAAGCCAAAAAGCAGAGCCTTCCAATGTTCGGTAGAGTAGTGCTTTCCTGGGGTTTGTATTAAGATCAATACATCCCCCTAATAGAGTGCGTACTCACCCCAAACTTTCAGCTGTAACAGACAGCCCCAAACGCTTTGTCTGATGGGACACCGTTACTGTTACCGTTTCGTATCTCGTTCTTTACCATCAGTCCTCAGTGTAAAGTATTCCCACAGTCATGCAAAGAAAAATCTTTCATCGGGTAATAGTTCCAAAAAGTAGTTTATTTAAAATGTCTTTTCAAATTCAAAATCACATTCGGCCGGTCCGAAAACAAACGTGTTTGGTATGGTAGACCTGCCCCTACATGTTTCGTCACCACCGACGTCCTCAGGGGAATTGCAGGTTGCAGCATTGATGTGATTTTATTTTATTTTTTTGTGATTTTGTAGTTCACAAACACGATTATATGGTTTTATGTCTTGTATTTACCCATAACTATTTATGTTTTCATAAAACCTATCCCCTACCACAGTTACTACCTTTCGTATCACTTGCCTTCCCTTAGATTGTCATCTCACGAGCACGAACTCTTAACTCTCTTGTTTTGTATTGTAACTGTACTGTCTCCCTTTAATTTGTAAAGTGCTGCACAATCTGTTGGCACTATATAAATCCTAAATAATGTTGCCTGTAGCCATGAACTTGAAGATAGAAGAGCGTTGCTTATAGATTCCAGTCAGAATCCAACTTTGCTTGCTAATACAGGCTAAAAAAAATGAAAGAAAAGACCGAATTAGCAGGAAAATACACCCAGAATGAAAAATCAAGCCATGTCAAATAGAAAACACTGCAGGTTTAAAGTGTATGGTGGTTTCTATTCCATATGTTGCTCCTCCTCTACTGGTAAAGATACCTGCTGGGGCATTGAGAGGAATGTATCAAAACTGGAGCAGACAAAATCTGGAGCAGCTGTGCATGGCAACCAATCAGCATGTGTTTCATTTTCAACTTAACTTAACTGAATGCAGCCTGTCCTCATTTTATGTGATTGCCACCCTCAGTCCCAGTAATGGAGAATATGAACACAGAGAGAGGTATAATTTTTGTAAAATTGTATCTTATAACCAGAATTTGGTAATGTGAAGCCTGTAGTACTCAAGGATACATAGTTTTGCCCATTTTTTCAAAACCTTCATATTCTTCTTGGACTTCAAAACAAGAATGAGCAGGAGTGAAAGATAAAATGTTTAGTACATGTGAATAGTAAAACTTAAAAAAAAAGCATACCGCATGCTGACAGTTATAATGTTATTAGTAATTCTTGACTGCGCATCTCCCAAACGTGTCAGGGCAGCCTATTTATTTGACATTTCTTTGATGTTTTTACATACGGTAGTTTTTTGGGGGCTTTTGTTTTTCTTTTGTTTTTCATGGAAGCCTATTGCAGATGTATTGGGGATGTCCATATTAGAGTTCTTTTAAATCCTCTGGTGCTGTGTTTTGTCATTGCAGAGTGCAGGACCACTGGATATGTCTTTACCTTCAACCCCTGACATTAAAATCAAAGAAGAGGAGCCAGTGGAAGTGGATTCATCCCCACCAGACAGTCCATGTTCACCAGCAGAGGAGAAGGTACGGCACATATGCTGATACTTTATTCACAAGGCTTACTTTTGCTAAACTGAAAAAGTAGACATACAGGGGAAATTATCAAACCTGGAGCAGACAGAATCTGGAGCAGTTGCCCACAGTAACCAATCAGATTCTCTTTCATTTTCAAACCTTAACTGAACAAACTGACAAGATTAGCTGATTGGTTGCCATAGGCAACTGCTCCAGATTCTGTCTGCATCAGTTTTTATAACTTCCCCCCCATTATGTTCATGACCTTCTTAGGAAGTGCTCAAAAGAGAGAACTTTTCAACGTAACTTGCAAATAAATTGTAAAAATAAGTAAAATGCAGTAATCTATAATGACCATTCTTCTGTTGATGTGACTTTAGTGAGATGGAATCTGCTTGCTGTGGGTTAGAGTTCTTTGAGCTTCTTTATCAAACAGAGTAATAGGGGCTTTGTATACCACTGTTTTGAATTCACTGGGTCAAGGCTGGAAGGATCCTTAAAGTACAACCTGCCCAAAATTGTTATTTAAGGTGTATGTATAGCCAACACTTTTATTTTAGTTTTAGACAAGTGATGGATAATGTCAAATCTTTTCTATTTTATTAATTTATTTATTTGCTGTCTGTGTCCCGTTGGGCAGTTGTCCCTTCACTTTCTGTAAAATGTTGGGTTTCCCATCACTTTCTCTCTCAGTGGCAATGGTCACCAGCATAAAAAGAGGGTGACTCTAATTAGCCGGGACACAGACAGCAATAAAAACCTGGCATAGGCTATAGTCACACTGGATGTGATTAGATGTGTTTGTTTTATGTGCATTTAAAATCTTTTTTTAACGCGTATACAGTATACGCATCCAATAATTTCCATTAGATCTATTTACACCTTGTGTTTAGATGCTTTTATCTGCAGTCAGTTTAGCTGCATTTAGAAAAAAGTCAGGTGCGTCCAGAAATTGATTTGAGCTTCTAAACGCACCAAAATGCATGTAAATGCAAGACACATTTATTTGCAAATATCTCATTGGCTACTTCAATGGACTGTTTCAATGGACAGATGCATAAAAATTAGAGGTGCACCAAAATGAAAATTTCAAAAACGTAATCGAAATTTAAAAAATGTCAAGACTGAAACCGGAAAAAAATTTTATTTTAATTTTGTCAAATTATTTTTTATATATTTTTTTTTTTCATAAACTTTTTAATGTTTTTATATTTTTTTTTAAACTTTACTTTTTAGGGGCTTTGGGGAAATATTGGGGGTCTAAACAGACCCCTGATATTTCCCTTTTAAAATAGAAAAGAGATTGAGGACAAAAGACCTCAATCTCTTTTTCTGCAGCCCCTGTTATAAATGAACAGGAATCCTCTATACTGAGTGTCCCTGTTCATTTATAACATGAGAACGGAGTATGTTTAATATACCCACAATTGTGAATGAACAGGAGGAGATGTAGATCACTTCCCATTCATTCATAATTGAGGATATAGTCAACATGCTCTGTCCTCAATTATGTACAAACACTCAGCGATCACTGATCACCGAGTGTTTGCACTCACTCTCCTCTCTGACACGCTGTCACAGGAGGCTGAGTGAGTGTTGCAGGGAGGAGAGCCCAGCCTCCTGTGACAGCGCTGGCTGTCTATGCCCACTCTGCTCTCCTCTGATCTCTGACAGGAGGCTGAGCGGTGCGGGGAGGAGAGACACCGGCCGCTCACATCGCTCTCCTCCCGCAGTGCTTGGCCGGCTGTCACTTTCTCTTCTCCCCGCTGGGACACAGAGCCCAGCGGGGAGGAAAGAAATCACGCATGTGCCAATGTATCTGCAGGAAAATGGCACTTTCGGCATTTAGCCAAAAGTGCCATTTTCGGCTGATATGTTTTGGCGACTGATATATCGGTGCATCCCTACTCAAAATGCATATGTGTGTGTAAACGTGCATTATTTTAAGCATCTAGAAGCATAAACTAAGCAGCTAGCCTGATTTTGCCAACAGATCTCTGCATAAAAACACAAGTGGCAAGCGTGAATTAAAGCTAATCCTTCCATACTCAATGGGAAAAAAGACGTTTTGGCTGTACATATAGGATTGCTGTTGGCTGGCTTCTTACATCTCCCTGCAACTCCATTGCACAGAGTTCCCTGACAGAGCGCTCAGCTTTGCCACCCCACCTCCAGAATATCATTGGTTCTGCTGATATGTCTGTAATGTAACATAAATACAATTTAGGACAGAAAGCCTTATAATGGCTGCAGCAGGTGGGTGGATCTGTCTGTGCAGATATTCTTTCAGTGGAGTCTTGAAGATGTATAAGCCCATGGGGCAAATTTCTAGATGTGCAATAGATTTTCAGTGTCAGACTTGGTAGGGACGGCATACAGTGTATGGTTTATTTATTGCTTTTGAGTACAATTGATGTAAGAAATCAAAGCTATTAGTTCAGATATATGCAGATTTACTTGGAGACAACAGCAAGTCAGTGTGAGATAATTTGTGCTGTTGATAACACTATAGTGTTACTGTGCATGGTTTTTTTGGTAGCTTGAGTGATGATGTTTATTATGCCACTCTGGTAAAGGTGCCACCAAAGCCGCAGGTCAGCTCAACGCCCACTCCTACAATAGTTCGGCCTGGCTCTCTGCCTCTCCACCTGGGATACGATCCTTTGCACCCTACACTTCCTTCACCCACATCTGTCATCACACAAGCCCCTCCGTCCAACAGACAGCTAGGGTAAGGAAGCTGTAGTTGTGTGCATTTCACCCTATCTGCTTTTCACATGCTATCCTTGATTTCTTAACCACCAGTGTGTTCATCATTATCCTTTTCTTCCTTATGTTATGTTTCTCCATTCCCTTGTATTCCTCATACTAAAACAGAGCTCTGTTTATTGTCTTTGTCAATCTTCCTTGTATCACTGTGCCGTATACATCTTTACTGTGTTTGTGTAAATGGTTTCTTCTGCATTTCAGCTCCCCAGGCAGCTCAGTCCCTCTTATGATGAACCTGGGTAATGGCCATTCTGTACCTTTTCTTCCTGGTCCACATGTACAAATGCCATCTGTTATATCGGTAAGGAGACTTTGTCTGATTTGTTGTGGTATTAAATGCAGAGAACCTCGCTTCCATTGACCTGTCTTGTTTTTATGTTGGCTCAGTTGGCAAGACCCATGAGCATGGTACCCAATATCCCAGGGATTCCCGGTCCCCCAATTATTGGTGGCGGAGGCCATATTTCTCCGTCAGGACTTTCAGTTCATTCAGAAGCCAAAATGGTAAGTGACCATATAGCACAATGATATAAAGGAGGGAGATATTTTGAATAGACATTACTCTTGTCCTTATTCCCCTACCTGGTTTTCTTTGCAGAGACTTAAAGCCTCGCTTACTCAGCAAGTTCCATTGTCTTTCAATGGGGGAATGGCTATGGTGGCATCAAGGCCTGAGCAAAGCCAGATCCAGCATCCTGATGCTCCTTCCCCTGCACAACCTCAGGTCAGTTATCAATTGCAGATTTTTTTTTTTGTTTTTTTGCAACCATGTTATAATCCACATTTTAGGCCTGAAAATTACTTCAAACCCCCAAACATTATATATTTTCCATGACCCTGTAGACTAAGATGGCGGCAGCTGCAAATTTTTATGTTGCGCGATATTAGCGCAACTTATTATCAAACCCCAACATTTTGTGAAAAATGCACTTAAATGCCCCAAAACAGAATAAAATGCCATTTTTAAAAAGATGAAATATTAAAGATGAGGTTACAACAAGTAAATAGATACCCAACATGCCCAAGTAAAAATTTGTGTGAGTCTGTAAAACTGCGACAAAATTCACTACCCCATAAGGTCCATAGAAGACACTTTAAAAGCCCTTGCACGTCATCAGTTTAGAATTACTCATAAATATTGGCCCTAGAATTATTGCTCTCACTCAGGCGTGCGCGGCGCTACCCAACATGTGTAGCACGATCATCGCTTTCGTACGTAGGCGCACCCGACGCCTGTTTACGTGAAGACTT